CTAGGAAATGGATATTTACTTCAAACACATTAAAGACTATTACTGTTTACAAGGTTTTCACAATGACTATGTCAGCGACATCATTAAGTGAGGTTTTTATAAATTAGTAGAAATAAAATTAAAGGCAAAGAGTTACGACATTGAGAATGAAATACATGTCACTTTAAATGGAATATATGAGCCAACCTGTCATTCTGTGTAAAGGCATATCAAGTTTAAGATAAACTTTCACAAATAAAGTCTACTTAAAGTGATTGGTTTGTGTGAACATTGCTTTCATGCCACATTGGCGGGACCTAAAGGAGAGGAATTGAGAACGCCGAGAGTCCTGATGTTTCCCGAGACAAGGTCAACAAGAGAAACATCATTACTTGACGAAAAATATAACTAACTGTTTTTCCGGGGGGGAACTAACATCAAGTGTTCTGTTATATTACTAGACTTTCACTTCAACAGCGTCAATAGAGATAGTCGAGGCAAATGAAAACAGTCAACTCGAATCAGTAATTACCGACAACTACCAGTAACTATCAGCAACTACTAGTAACTACCAGCAACTACTAGTAACTACCAGCAACTACTAGTAACTACCAGAAACTACTAGTAACTACCGACAACTACTAGAAAGTACCAGTAACTACTAGTAACTACCGATAACTACTAATAAGTACCAGTAACTACCGACAACTACTAGCAACTACCGAAAACTACTAGTAACTACCACTAACTACTAGTAAATACCAATAAATACCACCAACTACCAGTAACTACTAGTAACTACCGACAACTACTATTAACTACCGATAACTACCATTAACTACCAGTAACTACTAATAACTACCGGCAACTAATAGTAACTACCAGTAACTACCAGTAACTACTAGTAACTACAAGTAACTACTAGTAACTACTAGTAACTACCGATAACTACTAGGAACTACTAGTAACTACCAACAACTACCAGTAACTACCAGCAACTACTAGTAACTACCAGTAACTACTAGTAATTACCAATAACTACTGTTAACTATTAGTAACTACCATCAACTACTAGTAACTACTAGTAACTACCATCAACTACCAGTAACTACTAGTAACTACCGACAACTACTAGTAACTACCAGTAACTACCAGTAACTACCGACAACTACTAGTAACTACCGAAAACTACTAGTAACTACCACTAACTACTAGTAACTACCACTAACTACTAGCAACTACCAGTAACTACTAGTAAATACCAGTAACTACTAATAACTACCACTAACTACTAATAACTACCACTAACTACTAGTAACTACCAGTAACTACTAGCAACTACCAGTGACTACTAGTAACTACCAGTAACTACTAATAACTACCACTAACTACTAGTAACTACCAGTAACTGCTAATAACTACCACTAACTACTAGTAACTACCACTAACTACTAGTAACTACCAGTAACTACTAAAAACTACCACTAACTACTAGTAAATACCAAGAACTACTATTAACTACCAGTAACTACTAGTAACTACCGACAACTACTATTAACTACCGATAACTACCATTAACTACCAGTAACTACTAATAACTACCGGCAACTACTAGTAACTACCAGTAACTACTAGTAACTACAAGTAACTACTAGTAACTACTAGTAACTACCGATAACTACTAGGAACTACTAGTAACTACCAACAACTACCAGTAACTACCAGCAACTACTAGTAACTACCAGTAACTACTAGTAATTACCAATAACTACTGTTAACTATTAGTAACTACCATCAACTACTAGTAACTACTAGTAACTACCATCAACTACCAGTAACTACTAGTAACTACCGACAACTACTAGTAACTACCAGTAACTACCAGTAACTACCGACAACTACTAGTAACTACCGAAAACTACTAGTAACTACCACTAACTACTAGTAACTACCACTAACTACTAGCAACTACCAGTAACTACTAGTAAATACCAGTAACTACTAATAACTACCACTAACTACTAATAACTACCACTAACTACTAGTAACTACCAGTAACTACTAGCAACTACCAGTGACTACTAGTAACTACCAGTAACTACTAATAACTACCACTAACTACTAGTAACTACCAGTAACTACTAATAACTACCACTAACTACTAGTAACTACCACTAACTACTAGTAACTACCAGTAACTACTAAAAACTACCACTAACTACTAGTAAATACCAAGAACTACTATTAACTACCAGTAACTACTAGTAACTACCAGTAACTACTAGTAACTACCAGTAACTACTAGCAACTACCAGTAACTACTAGTAAATACCAGTAACTACTAGTAACTACCACTAACTACTAGCAACTACCAGTAACTACTAGCAACTACCAGTAACTACTAGCAACTACCAGTAACTACTAGTAAATACCAGTAACTACTAATAACTACCATTAACTACTAATAACTACCACTAACTACTAGTAACTACCAGCAACTACTAGTAACTAACAGTAACTACTAGTAACTACCAGTAACTACTACAAACTACCACTAACTACTAGTAAATACCAAGAACTACTATTAACTACCAGTAACTACTAGTAACTACCAGTAACTACTAGTAACTACCGACAACTACTAGTAACTACCAGTAACTACTAGTAAATACCAGTAACTACTAGCAACTACCAGTAACTACTAGTAAATACCAGTAACTACTAATAACTACCAATAACTACTAGTAAATACCAAGAACTACTATTAACTACCAGTAACTACTAGCAACTACTAGTAACTACTAGTAAATACCAGTAACTACTAATAACTACCAGTAACTACTAATAACTACCAGTAACTGCTAGTAACTACCAGTAACTACTAGTAAATACCAGTAACTACTAGCAACTACCAGTAACTACTAGTAACTACCAGTAACTACTACAAACTACCACTAACTACTAGTAAATACCAAGAACTACTATTAACTACCAGTAACTACTGGTAACTACCAGTAACTACTAAAAACTACCACTAACTACTAGTAAATACCAAGAACTACTATTAACTACCAGTAACTACTAGTAACTACTAGTAACTACCAGTAACTACTAGTAACTACCAGTAACTACTAGTAACTACCATTAACTACTAGCAACTACCAGTATCTACTAGTAAATACCAGTAACTACTAATAACTACCACTATCTACCAGCAACTACCAGTAACTACTAGCAACTACCAGTAACTACTAGTAAATACCAGTAACTACTAGCAACTACCGGTAACTACTAATAACTACCAGTAACTACTAGTAACTACCAGTAACTACTAGTAACTACCAATAACTACTAGTAACTACCAGTAACTACTAGTAACTACCGACAACTACTAGTAACTACCAGTAACTACTAGTAAATACCAGTAACTACTAGCAACTACCAGTAACTACTAGTAAATTCCAGTAACTACTAATAACTACCAAGAACTACTATTAACTACCAGTAACTACTAGTAACTACTAGTAACTACCAGTAGCTACTAGTAACTACCAGTAACTACTAGTAACTACCATTAACTACTAGCAACTACCAGTAACTACTAGCAACTACCAGTAACTACTAGTAAATACCAGTAACTACTAATAACTACCAGTAACTACTAGTAACTACCAGTAACTACTAATAACTACCATTAACTACTAGTAACTACCAATAACTACTAGTAACTACCAGTAACTACTAGTAACTACTAGTAACTACTAATAACTACCATTAACTACTAGTAACTACCAGTAACTACTAGTAACTACCAGTAACTACTAATAACTACCATTAACTTCTAGTAACTACCATTAACTACTAGTAACCACCAGTAACTACCAGTAACTACTAGTAACTACTAGTAACTACCAGTAACTACTAATAACTACCATTAACTACTAGTAACTACCAGTAACTACTAATAACTACCATTAACTACTAGTAACTACCATTAACTACTAGTAACTACCAGTAACTACTAGTAACTACTAGTAACTACTAGTAACTACCAGTAACTACTAGTAACTACCAGTAACTACTAGTAACTACTAGTAACTACTAGTAACTACTAGTAACTACTAGTAACTACTAGTAACTACCAGTAACTACTAGTAACTTCTAGTAACTACCACTAGCTATTAGGGAGAAGACACAATACTACATAATACACAGAGTGTATATTACCGGTGCACTTGTGGCTTTCTACCACTTGGTTCCAAAATACTTTACGAAATACAATTAAAAGGCAAGCGATCTCTCTATTATATTGACACTCCTGTGCTGCACATACTTGGATCTGTCCTTTAGGTCTCTGTTCTGCTGAGGTTTTACTGTACATGTAAATGTACAGACAACAGATTGTGAGATTGAAAGACTGTGAATTTCTGTCCCATTAACCAAAGCTCTTGAGCTAGCATATCGCCACACACAAGTTTTAAGAGAGAGAAAAACTTCATTTCTATTTAACCAACATTTGGTCAAAGCCGACAAAGATTAAGCTTAGATCTAAATGCTAGCACAAGTACATTGAACAATATGCGGATGTGGACGCGTCGACGACAGAACAGTCACTCACCCGCAACTCTGCGAAGTTATTTTCTTTATCGATTTGATCAGCAAATGGCGCCAGTTCCTTCTGACAGAAACTGTTCACCGTCTCTCGTAACTGGAAAAATAACGGTTAGAATTCTAACTATCTAAAAACGGGACGGTAGTTTATACAAAGAGATACATCACAGCCATATATCACAGTCACGGTTCTCAGGCGAAGTTGCGTAAGGATAAAATTACATAAGAAATCTCGTGAGAAATAATGAACCTGTTTTTGGTGATCCGTAATCCCTGACACATAATCATCTACATGTGTTGAAAAACTTCTAAGCCCTAAACATCTTTGTAAAAGTGAGCTTTTCAACAAATTTGTCCGTAGAATTATACGAACGGCAGCCATGCTTCCCAAATCGCTTTCTTAGATGACGTCAACCTTGCATAAAATTCCTTGCTAACCTAAATTCCTTGCATACATTTTTTGTTGAACTCGCCCCAGTGTAGTCGCCACTTAAGAAAGCAGTCAAAAATAGGGTACAATACCATGGGGAACGTTGTAATAGAGGGCAATTCATAGCACTGTGGAATACCACGTTTTAAAATCGTACATAATCGACTGTCTAGGACCCACAAACTATTTTATCACGCATTACACGAAAAAACCTAAAATTGTTAGTGATATGAGCTGTTCTTTTAGTTTCTGAATGGCGATTTTGCAGTATTTCGTATCCGTGGTGTAGTTAACGTGCAAATCTGTCACCGAACCACCATGGTGCAGCAATGGCTAAAATCATTCTCCCGTTACCAATCTGGATTTATCCTTTAGAATTGATCAGAAAGTGGTTTTGTGACGGGTTTATGGATGATTGAGACCATTGGCCGTAGACCTTACTTGATCCATCTTACTTGGAGTGGTCTCAAAAGTTAATGACCTAAGGCAGGCTTGACCTTCGTTCATGTAATCTTCTTTTTATTGTATCAAGGCTTAATGCCAAGTCTGATAGTTTAGTTTCATGGCATCGAGAATCTGGTGCCACAGCTGTTGATGCTTTCAGTATTACCTGGACTAATTTTAATTGTTACGCTTTTCCTCAGTTTTAGTCATCTGTCTCGACTTTCGGCCAAAGAAAAAGGTAACCAAAACGTGTACTAAGCCGTCTTCGCCATCTCTGTACGGTTTTATTTGCAGTCACCCGTAAGAAAGGTACTGATGTTATAAAGACTCCTTCTACTCACTGCGCCGCCTTATTAACGCCTGTTGGCTCGGATCTCAATGACGGAATAAAAATAAAACAGCGCTGTCACCTACTTAGGCAGCAGAATGAAGTGAAATGCCCATAGTAACTTAGTAGATGTCATGGATGGAGTCTTTCCTTCAAAAGAACCTTTTTCAAGTAATGAATATCTGATTTTGGGTGCAAGCTTGAGTCGATGTAGATTTTCTTGCCGTTGGCAAACTGACCAAAACAACTTTTCCAATGGCTTATGAAGCCAAAAAAGGACATCTTACCTTCTCGTTTTATGTGATAAAAAGGTTCACGCAAATATTTGTGAAAGTTAATCAAAAATGAAATATAAAAGGGTGGTGGAATCTTATTATAATCTTTTTTACTCCCAGTTATCATCTTCGGCCGGGCTTACTCTTCTCCGAAGCCACCCCTCTTCTAAAAAGGGTGTTTTGAATTTTGTTATCACCGATACAATCGATAGTCAGTTCTGTTAAAGCTCTTTAGAAAGCTAAACTCCGGTGGCGAACAGGTTTACAAAACGTTAGTTGTGCTTAATTATTGACTTAAACCTACTCTATCATGTCAAAAAATAGATTTTCTTTCAAAAAACACTTTTTTGAAAGACATGAACTTTTAATACTAACAAAATGAGACATGCTATAATTCTTCGAAAAGAAAATGGGTCCTGCTTAAGTCTTGTAATCAAACTGATAAAATACAATTTAATTTCCTTTTAGTGATATTGGAAAGATTGTCGACCCTTTATTTTTTTACGGCACGATTTTAAGTGGGTACCAAGGTCACACACTGGGTAAAAGATGATTCTTAAGTTAAAAAAGCTGACAAACATTGTTTTAAAGAATAATACAAAGAATGGTATAAGAGGGTCAAAAACGAGATTCACCCTGTGCAGATTCACCTGATCGGGATTCGGGATCGGCACCTGATCACAGTAGGTGTCCGTAATAAAGAGGTTAAGTTTATATGAAATTACTCTCTGGGGCCGAGATTTCGTGTCCGTTGTCCGTATTAGAGAGAGTCGGTATTATGGAGGTTTTTTTTAAGAAAATATATGAGAATTTCTCGCGACATTGGAAACTGTCCGTAATAGAGAGGAGTCCGTATTAGAGAAGTGTCCGTACCGAGAGGTTCGACTGTATTCTTTTCTACCACTAATAATCATGTGAAAGATTTAAATCCAGGAGTCATTTCAAAAGTAGGTTGAGTTTCATCGTCCGAGTAAACGTAGTCCTGAATAGAACTGTCGTTGTTGACATTGACTAATGTTTCGACAACCTGTGCGGTCATCTTCAGAGTCAAGCTAAGTTGTATCACGTCAGTTGATGGTATTATACTCTGGTTATAGAGCAAAACTCTGTTGGTAAAAAGGTTACTTTTCAAAATGTTAGTTTTCTTAATCATTGACTTCAAAATACTCGGTCATTTCAAAAACAAATTCTTTCAAGAGAAAACCGTTTTTAATGGCATCATTTTTTGACACTTTCAAACTGCCTCATGCTATAATTCGTCGCTAGTACTCTCTAGGGTGGATCCCGCTTTAGCTTGTCCTCAACCTAACGGAAACACTTTAATAACTTTATGCTGTCCAAATGATGTTGGACAGAGTGTGGACCCGTTTACCACGGCTTTCAGCGGATACCTAGGTCACGCATGTAAAAGATGACTGTTACGTTATAGCAACAAATACGAGCTAAAAAATAAAGTCCTAAAGAATAATACAATGAATACTAACCTGAGAATGGTAAAAGAGGGTCAAAAATGTGACTCTACGTACCGCGCCACGAAAAGCCTTTCCCCTTAATAAAAAAGGAGTTTTAAAGGAAATAGATCTTTCACAGTTTAGCCTAAAAAATTGCTACATTTGAATGTAAATAAGGTCAATTCTCGTCGAAATATGTTTTTTATGAAAATCGAGAAGATAGCTTTGTAAGCAGCTCGAACGTTTAAATCGTTGTTGTCAAAGGAAGCACAACGTTCAACAGACAGTCACTATCTTCGGGCCTTATTCTTTCCCGAAGCCATCCTTCTTGGTGTATAAAGTTTTCATTTAATAATTTAATTTAATAATAATTTAATATTTATATTGCTCAAAATACATGTAAATATGATCAAATGCGCCTTTAAATTTACTCCAAGCTTACAGAAAGGTAAACATCGGTGGTGATTAGGTGTCAAAATCGTTATATAGTTTTTCTTTTTATCGGTAGATTTCTTTTCGCAGTTTCCAATCCTGGAAAGAATGTCCACACACCCACGTCACCGTTATATATGCGGATAAAAAGTACACGCATCAAAGCAAGGTCAACTTCTATTATAGCAGGGGCACCCAACGACAATTTTCGGAAGAATATCTGTTCGGAAGACTATTTTAGATCTAGAATTTTCGAAACATTTGTTTTAAGATTTCTTGCTTGCCTGCCTCTCCTAGGATTTTCGAACATCTAAAAAATGGTATAATTGCCTATTTTTAACGGATTTTTACCCTAAAAAGATCACCTAGAATTTTCGGGAGCCTTTTTTCTGGCTGAAATTTTAGAAAAGGTAAGTTTTGATCCCTATAATTTTCGGATCACTAGACTTTCAGCTGGGAAATCCGAACAGATGAAAAATTTTTAGGGGATAAAAATATGCCTATATCTACCGTTTAAATACTAAAATACGTTTAACAATGCTATGTTTAAGTGGTTTTGAACTATATTCCCCTTGGGTGCCCCTGTTATAGCGAATAATCCAAGAATGGTCCACGGTTCCAACTCGTCTTTATTACAGTTATAACGAATTACGATTACGGTTGCTAAAAGTGAAACAAAAAATACAAATTACTAAGGAATACAAATGACAGCTATGAAAGGACGAAAATACAGGAAACGGAAAGAAACCAAGCGTTGTGTGACTAGAAAGTTGAACGGAAAAAAGGTACGATGGCTAACAAGACTGGACGAAAAAAACTGCAATGATGTTGCCGTGAACGCTAAAGCGAAATGAATTAGAATAAACGATGAAACTTACAAAATGATCTAAGAACAAAGAAAGTTATGCAGAGAAATCTAACAGAATATGAATAGCGATAACTGAAAAGAATGTGAAAGGAATGTGCAACTATACAAAGAACTAAACGCTAAACGTATTGACGTGGAACGCGGCCGTAACAACTTCTTTTACCTTCTAATAACAAATAAACTAAGCGATGGATTGATTCACACAGAATAATTCAATGAAAGGTGAAGGAGGATCATAAACGAGGTTCTACTAACCACGTCCATTAAGAAGCCTTTTGCGCTATCATTAACAAATTTAAATGGGTTGTTTTCAAAGATTTCGCCAAGAATTCACCAAACGTATACAAAAGAGAAATGCTTCTCCCAACACGGTTTTTCAGAAAATGGAGGAGTTCAGACGTTTGACTCGTTGAAACGGTTTGAGTAGAATAGAAAAACAGCATTCAACCGACTGTGTCTGTTCTATTTTACCACTAGTTATCATCTTTGACCGCTCGTATTCTTCTCCGAAGGAAACCGTCTTTGTGAGTTAAGAATTTTTAATGTTTTTTCTCAACCATGCAATCAACAGTCTTTCTGTCAAAGATAACAAAAAGCTAAAACCTGGTGGTGAATAGGTTACTTTCCAAACTGTTAATTTTCTTAATCATTGACTTCAAAATACTCGGCCATGTCAAAAACAGAAATTCTTTGCAGAGAACACCATTTTTGAAGGCATCATTTTTTGATACTTTCAAACTGCGACATGCTATGGCCGTCGCTAGTACTCTCTAGGTTGGATCCCGCTTTAGTCAAAGCGGCGTGCAATATTGCTGTCCTCAACTTAACGGAGACACTTTGATTTCCCTTTATGCTGTGCTATTGATGTTGGTAAGAGTGTGGACCCGTTTACCACGGTTTTCAGCTGATGCCAAGTCCACGCATGCCCAAGATATTTCTTCCGTTATAGCAACAAATAAGCTCAAAACTAAAGTTCTAAAGAACAATACAATGAGTGGTATAAACTCGAGAATAATTTGAGGAATGGTAAAATAGCGTAAAAAAGGTGACTCTACGTACCGCGGGCCACGAGAAGCCTTTCCCATTAATTAAAAAGGAGCTTTAAAGGAAATTGATCTTTTGCAGTTTAGCCTAAAAATTTGGCATACTGTATTTCGCGGACTGGACTGGACTGGACTGGAC